AGAAAGGCATGAATCACTGAATGGAGAAATTCAATGAAGAAAAGATAGGAAGAAAAATAAGATGAAGATGAAGTAGTAGGGGAAGAAGAAGAACAACAACAACAGCCAGAGTAAGAACAAGAACAAGAGCAAAATGAGAACAAGACAAAACAAGAAGAACAAGAAGAGGAAGAACAAGAAAAAGAACAACAAGAAAAAGAACAAGAAAAGGAACAAAACAACTACAAGAAGAAGACGAACAAAAACAAGAAGAACAAGAGAAACAAGAAGAACAAGAGCAAGAACAAGAACAACAAGAACAAGATCAAGAAAAACAAGAAAAAATAAGAAAAATAACAAGAAGAAAAACAAGAAGAAAAACAAGAAGAAAAAACAAGAAGAAAAACAGGAAGAAAAACAAGAAGAAAAGCAAGAAGAAAAACAAAAAGAAAAAGAAAAACAAGAAGAACAAGAAGAAGAACCAGAACAATAAAAAGAACAACAACAATAATAAGAATAAGAGGTCAACACTATAAGGGCTTCCAGATTTATTCATTATTAGTGAATTCACAGTAAAGGTCGCAATTTTTAAGGCTCTTGAAGATAGCTGTGCATACCTCACAGCCAATTAGACTTTGATTATCGATTACTTTGCCTCATTATTTATAAAGGCAAAAAATAGAACTTAATTAAAATATACAATTATTCGAACCCACAACTACAACGTTCTATTATGCTGTCGATCCTCACTGATTGAGCTAACGATGGGTTGATGAAAGGTGGGTTTGCATGATGAATATAACCCTAACACTAACCCTAAGGCCATGTAAAATTGATTACATGTTGATCGTCCGGATTTTTTGAAAAAGAGGAGGAGGGTGTACCATGTTATTTGATATTTGATATTTCAAAATGGCCGCTCAAAATGGCCGCTCGGTACATTTTCCCCACAATTTTCCGTAGAGATCAGTGATTTTCCCTGACAGTCGAGGCTTTTTTTTTTCAAGATGGCCGCCGACAATTTTTTTTTTTTAAATCAGAAATAGAGCCATTTTAGCAGTGTTTTTCATGTTTTTTTTCTTTCAAAAAAAAAAAAAAAAAAAAAAAAAAAAAAATAACAAATAACAAAAAATAGGAGGCGGCCCCCAAAAAGGAAGCGGGCGGGGACGATCAACATGAAATCAATTTTACATGGCCTAACGGTTACCATGTGCGCAAGGGCAGGTCTAGCAGGTCTAAGTATTTATGAAAGAATCTTGGAGCCCATATAGTGTCTACCATAATAAGAGGAACAAGGACAACAAGAAGAACAAGAAGAATAAGAAAAATAAAAGAATAAAAACAAGTAGAAGAAAAACAGGAACAAGAAGAGGAAGAACACGAACAACAAGAACAACAACAAGAACAACATGAAGAAGGAGATCAAAAACAACAAGAGGAAGAAGGAGCAATATCATTCACCCTTCTCCCAGTTGACACTCCAGTTATGACAATCCTGATATGACCCAGCAAGCAAGATACAGATGTAAAATGACTATGGTGCAAGACCCGGAAGCTGGGACATCCCCCCCCCCCCCCCTTGAAGTTAGACCTGGAAGCTTGGCAGCTGGAGACGGCTTTCTTCCAGAATCTTTGGTATTCAAGGTATTCAAGGTATTAATAAGAACAAGAGAAAGAACAAGAGGGACAAGAACAAGTAGAAGAAAAAGAACAAGAGAAAGAACAAGAGAAAGAACAAGACCAAGAAGAAGAACAAGAAGATTGAAAAGAACAAGAACAAGAACAAGAACAAAAAGAACAAGAAGACAAAAAGAACACGAAGAACAAAAACAAGAACAGGAAGAACAAGACTAATAACAACAACAACAAGAGAAAAGGAGGAATGAAGAAAAAGACCGAGAAGAAAATTGCGCTTCGCCAGGGAATCAGAAAAAATAAAGACAGCACCATATCCCGCTAATGGGACTACACACACACAAATTAAACATGATTATCCATGGTTTAAGTAATCTACATCCGCAATCAAATTACATAAGCTGTAAACTACACCTTTAGTATATTCACAAATACACACTTTTAAACCTAGCACGTATTTACAGCAACAAATTCGTGCGAGAATGCGAAAACTTACCTAAAATCAGACGTAGCAACGCCACAAGCACACGACACTGAATACCAATACATACAGCTGTATCTCAGATCAGACCGCGCGCTTCGCAACAGGTGGCAGACGATTTGCGTTATTTGTATACGGATATACCTCGAGCGCAGATGCGTGAACGTGAAGTGGGGGGAAAGGCGCCACGGCATAACATTTTTAGTACAGTGGACAAGCGGTCTGGCGCCATCTCTGTGTAACGAATTGTTCATTGGATGGTCGAGTTTTTTTTTTCATATTTATTTTCTCCGCCTATCAAGCGCAGATCCAGGATTTCTTGGGGGGGGGGGGGCCCAAATTTGAAATTATGCGAGCCAAATATTGGTACGTAATGGTGACACCGGCAGTGGCGAAATGAGCAAAAACGTGTTGGTTTTTTTTTTTTGGGGGGGGGGGGATGACCAAAATCCGCACCACCCCACTCTTACATGCAGGCCCCGCTAAACGTTTCTTCTAAGTGAATGGGGTGGTATTTACGAACAGGTAGAGCGTAGCGTAAATTGGCGTGTGGTCTAGGGGTGGAGCCTCCAGAAGCTCCGCCCCCCTGGACCCCACACCAATGTGTGTCCTGCCAGTGTCACAAATAAGGTATCAAAATAATGCTCATCTGACTGTAATTAAAGGTAAAGACCAGTATTGGAAACGCCCCAATTTCAAAAAATGAAATGGAAGCTCTCATTACCAATCATGTGAAAGAATATGTTTTGACTAATACATGATGATAAAAAATTTGCCGGGAAACCGCTTACTAATTCATATATTTGGTAAATTTGTTTCTCTCATGGTCTTTGAGAGATATAGGGTAGTCCCATATACATCTTTCTGTGTATAGTGCTTGTAACTTTACGAAGAATGGGCCAAATTTCTTATCATTTTGATGATTCCAGAACCTTGTAGATGCTAGATGCTAGATGATCAACCTTTTCTGATCGATTCCACAACGTTTCTTTCACAATGCAATCGCATGACCAAAACTGGCCTTTACTTTTAAATGCCTATACCCCCCTGAGCTTCTGGAGTTTTATACATTAAATTACAATCAGATGAGCATTATTGTAATACCTTATTTGTGATACTGGCAGGTCACGAATTGGCGTGCAGTCTAGGGGGCGGAGCCCCAGAAGCTCATGGGTTTAGGCATTTAATTACCGTCAGATGAGCATACATGGGCCCCACCTTAGGGTCCCTGGCGGGCTCGAGGAGGCGGAGCCCCGGAAGCTCTGGGGTTTTAGGCATTTAATAACGGTCAGATGAGCATATTCTGTTACCTTATTTGTGACACTAGCAGGACATTGATTGGCGTGAGGTCTAGGGGGCGGAGACCCCATAAGCTCACGGGTTTTGAGCATTAAATTATAGTCAGATTAGCATCCAGTGACTTGTCTTAAGGCACTAGGTGGGGTCCAGGGGGCAGAGTCACGGGAAGTCAAGGGGTTTGAGCAATAAATTACGGTCAGATGAGCATATTTTGTTACCTTAATTTTGTGACACTAGCAGGACATTGATTGGCGTGAGGTCTAGGGGGCGGAGACCCCATAAGCTCACGGGTTTTGAGCATTAAATTATAGTCAGATTAGCATCCAGGGACTTGTCTTAAGGCCCTAGGTGGGGTCCAGGGGGCAGAGTCACGGGAAGTCAAGGGGTTTTGAGCAATAAAATACGGTCAGATGAGCATATTGTAATACCTTATTTGTGACACTGGCAGGTCACGAATTGGCGTGGGGTCCAGGGGGCCGAGCCCCCGGAGGCAAAGGGGTTTAGGCATTTAATTACCGTCAGATGAGCAAAGTTTGACACCTCAGTACTTTGTGACAAAGGCAGTTCACTATTCTTTTTTTCTTTCCTTAGGAATTTGCCATTTTTCAACAAACGTATAAAAAAGTTAAATTTACTAAAGATTGAGAAAAAATCTCGGAAAATTATGTCATTTCAGCAACATTTGTAAATCTCCGGTATCGAATTAGAAATAACCACGTTTGAGGCAAGGGCCTTTCGCCCCCCCCCCCCACCCCCGATCTACATGTTGTTGGTGGGATTAATCGTTACTGTTCTCCCCCTTCTTTTCACCCTTTTCTTTTCTTCTTCCACTTTTTTGTTCCCCTTTAGCTCTCCTCTTACACTTTCCCTTCCTTTCTCCCGTTTTTTTTTTTTTTTTTTTTTTTGGGGGGGGGTATGCAAGGGTCTTCTGCCTCCCCCCCCCCCCCCCGAACTACAACTCGTTGGGGGGTGCAACTGATATCACCCTTCTTTTCTTTTCTGCTTCCTCTCTTTTTCCTTCCTCTTATCTCCTCTTTTCCTTTTTTCTTTCACTCTCCTTCCTTCTCTCTTTTTTATGGGAGGGGGGTTACAGATGGGAGGCAAGGCCCTTTCGCCCCCCCCCCCGATCTCCTTCTTTCCCCCCCCCCCCCCTTTGTTTTTCTTCTTCCTCTTCTTTCTCTCCTTTTTCATTTTCCCTTCTTTTCCTTCTCTCTCTTTCTCTTTTTTTTGCGGGGGGGGGGGGGAAGACTCGCTCGGCTCCCCTGGATCCGCGCCTGAATGCACTGTTTTGCTGTTTTTATTTATATATATATATCATGGATATATAGTACTTAATCCACCGAACTACACGATGATGCTGCGATCCGATTTTACAAAGAAATAGCGATTATAAAAATTATTAGATAAAGAAATCAAAACAAAGATTATCTCCCGATTTAATTTCTAAATAATGAAAGGAATAATAGCAACAGAACCTTGTGCGCGTTTATAGAAGAAAAAAAAAAGTCGAATCGCAGTCAGAGCGTATAGTGCGCTTTAAAAAGGCTTGGCCGTTGTCGATTTGCAGCAATTAATTCAAATAAAATACACTGAGAAAATGAAAATGTGGTTTTGAGCTTCGATTTAATCATGATTATGATACACACATTTGTATTGTATTTTAAGAGCAGGGAACATTAACAACAGATCAATGATGATAAAGAAGGGAATGTAAAACAGGAAAGGAAAAATGAGGAAAAGGGAAAAAGAAGAGGAAAGCAGAAAGCATTCTGCAACACTATTACTTTCGAATGTCTGTGCTTACATAAAAAACAAAGAACACTTAAACCGAATATGATTTGATTGGGAAAACAGTCGACCATGTAGTATCCTGATAACATGTAAAGACAAATCTATCTAGAATTTTTAAAAACACATTAAAAATTCTGCACTGTAATTATTTGTATAAGAAAAATCAATCGTTAACATGTAAAGAAGGCACTGCCAATTCAGATTACACACATTTTAACTGTTTAATTTGAATAATAATATAATTTTACAGTGAAATTAGTAGTTATAATATGTCATTATCTGTCTATAGCTAGATATAAATAGAATTATGTCAATAATCGTATTGAATAACCTTTCATCTGCCAAGAGTGCTGATCGACACACTCACGTGTGTGCCTCGAGTGCTAATCGGGAAGAAAGTGTGATCTGAACTGTCTTACAAAAGCCTTGCATAATGACCAATTTCCAGCCATAATTGAATACAAGACCAACTGCTTTATGACATATATGTGTTTTTTTTTATAATTTGCACTTGAAATAGTAAAATTAACGAAAGATAAAATTACACGTCCAGATTTAAAGTATAGAACATGGATATTATGAGAGTGACACACAAAGAGTTGTTTAACATCTACTTGTAATCTGTTGAATTTGAATCATAAATCATCGTCTAGACGTCGCCACAGAACGTCCGTAGTCGGACTTGGTTCATACTTGGAAGAAGCAGATTGTGATGAGGCAGCGGCCGCAGCGCCATCAGACTCCTCCTCTGAACTAGATCGCTTCTGCCGAGTCGGAGTCTGATTCAGATCGCTTCTTGCGACCGGAGTCAGCAGACGCTGCTGAGGCGACAGATGCTGCTGAGGCGGCAGATGCTGCTGAGGCCGCAGACTCAGCTGAGGTCGACTCAGCTGATGCTGCTGAGGCCGCAGACTCAGCTGAGGTCGACTCAGCTGAGGCCGACTCTGAGGAATAGAGAAATAATGATACAACATAAGTCAGGGATCTTCTGTCTGTTCACGTGTAATGTATGTGAAAATGGAATGATACATGGCTTCGCTTATTCATGTTAATACGCGCGAGAGGAATTGTTTTTTTTTCTTCTAACAAACATAATGTATTGAAAGATTATGACAAACAAATTGTCGAGTCTACTATACACTACTAGGCTTTTTCACATAATTATGCCTTTATTAATATATATATAATAAATAATAATGCTAGTGGGTTCTTGTCCCGACTGCCATTACAGCGCTCTAGCATTTCAGGAATTCATTCATGCCAGGTACCCATAGATATGTACAACTATTTTCTATTTTTTTTAATTGAACGAACGAATAGAACGCACAACAATGGTCTTATGCGTCTTACATTATTTTTACCATAACAATGTTTGCACGTAGCGTGTTTTTATTAAGGCACACTACAGTACACGATTCGACTGCGATACGATTTTTGAAAAAGTTTGAATTGAAGGACAAAATATTCTTGTGCCTTGTGAATGACGTTGTTTTGTTGCATATATATATATATATAAAAGAATAAAAAGGGGTTAAATAGTAGTCATCAAATTAGGTCTGAATAGTCATTGAATAATAAAATCTAAATTTCAGGTGATTTCAAACCTTCCCGGAGGACAGGCCAATCCGACTCATAATCACTGTGAGCTCAGATCAGCTTTGAACATGCTGTTATGCATTCTCATTTAAAAGTGAAATGGTGCTACTTTAAAGGTAAAGACCAGTATTGGCAACGCCCCAATTTCAAAAAATGAAATGGAAGCTCTCATTACCAATCATGTGAAAGAATATGTTTTGACTAATACATGATGATAAAAAATTTGCCGGGAAACCGGCTACTAATTCATATATTTGGTAAATTTATTTCTCTCATGGTCTGGTGAGAGAGATAGGGTAGTCCCATATACATCTTTCTGTGTATAGTGCTTGTAACTTTACGAAGAATGGGCCAAATTTCTTATCATTTTGATGATTCCAGAACCTTGCAGATGCTAGATGCTAGATGATCAACCTTTTCTGATCGATTCCACAACGTTTCTTTCACAATGCAATCGCATGACCATTACTGGTCTTTACCTTTAACATTTTACAACGTCATCATTGTGTGAACAGGCTTCTCCCGAATCATCGGGTCATCGCGTCGGGTCGGGGGGTCGCGTTACCCGACCTTTTGTGAAAACATGCCACGTTATTGACGGGGGTAATGTTTGTGAAATAAACACCTCTCTTCTACAAATCGCCTGTTCCAATTTACCCGACACTTTGTGAAAACCCTACAGCAAACGCGATGACCCGATGGTTCGAAGTAAGCCGTGTGACACGGGGCATTTAGGAGAGTTTAAACTACTTACGTGCTTCAGAGTGTCCTATGCTCATCAGGAGACAGAGAGACACGATGAGAATGATAGACATCTTAAAAGTGTTCATCTGTTGAGAAAAAAATTGAACAAATGAAATGGTGATTACGAGTTCAGAAACAAAATGAATACGATACAGGCTCGGAAGTACAGCTCCAGTAGTTTAAAGGAAGACTATTTATTTAAGGACATTCTATATTAGCTATTCTCTCAGAGGCTGGGTGGCCCTATTTAGATTAAAAAACGAAATTAGCAGCACATAGAAAAAAACGGAACAAACTAACTGGTGTACGAAGTCATGCACATGGCGCTTAAATACTCATGCGCCGGCGACATGACTTCAATGTCACATGATCTTATTAGATAATCGGGAGGGCCCTTACGCAGACAACCAATTACAAGATAGAATTTAATTATAGGATGATTCGTAAGCCACCCGACCTCGAGATTAGTTCAATCTACCAATCAAGAGAGAAGTTATACATTCAATTAAATATCACCAATGACAAAGCACAATAGAGTGGTTCTGACTGCGTACCGGTGAAAGTAGGAGGAGCCTATAGAGCCCCGCAAGAATGTTCGATAACCGGAAAAAACAGTCTATTGTCTAACGTGTTTATCGGAAACAAACACCTGTAAATCTTATGCAGAAATTCAAGTCCAGGGGTTGTTTACCCGTACCTGGCATACTATCGGGGACATCATTAATTCTGTTCAACTTTAAATGTATACAAAGTCAAACTTATAAGCATACAAAATGATCAACTGATCTCAACTCTTCTATTGCTATAGCGCCCCCTTTAGGTCAATGTTTTGCCCAAATCAGCGTAGCACTACACGACATTAAATGACAATGCTTATACTGCTGCTACTACTATTACTACTAATAATGGCACTGTAGCAGTAATAATGATGATGATAATAGTATAGGAATATTGACTGCCTTGAGGAGCACGGTTAAAACTATTGCCCGATGCGATCTTGTAACGAGCAGTAAAGGGCAGTCTCGAGATCACCGAGGAGCCATAGTTTTAACCATGTCACGAACAAAATAATAAACAGTCAATATTTGTTTTAGATACCGAATATAAAGTGTAAATAAAAAAATAAAAAAGAGATATCTTATTAACATGTCTCTTGAAGAGTATTCGTTCATGAGTCAAAGGTTGATTTCCCAGTCTAGCAGCAATGCGCGTGTCCCATTGTTAACTACACACGCCACGATTCTGTCCTTACATTACACTATGAACATGACGGACAATGAAAGCGGACAAAATATACAGTTCCTCAGGTAGACAAAGGAACATCCCTTCACTGCTATTATGTAAAAATGTGTAGAACAGGTGAATATGCATGTGACACCTGTTCTACACATTTTTACATAATAGCAGTGAAGGGATGTTCCTTTGTCTACCTGAGGAACTGTATATTTTGTCCGCTTTCATTGTCCATCATGTTCATAGTGTTAACTGCATTTACACACAAAAAATACTTTTACCCACAAGCCTCGAAATGCTACCGTTCACGTCAAAAAGAACTACATGTAAAGTGTTTGCAACGTCAAAATTACACCACTGCCTTTTCTTGTGAAAGTTTGACCCAAATTTTGGCATAACTACTATCTAGAATAAGGAGCATTAGTGAACGTATACTATCTATATCAATTGTTGGACGGTTCCATCAAGCGTTTATCAATTTAACAGTTATCCATTCATGCGCGATTTAGTTGATTATCAAATCGATGATTTATGTATGATGATCATGTAGGTCTCATCATAGACGTAATTACGTCTATGGTCTCATCGTGTCTACTTTACGAACTCATCTCAACTCTACTCAAATCTGATCAAATCAAATCAAATCAATTTCACTAAAGCAAAATTAAATCAAATCAGATATGATCAGTTCAAACCAGATCAAATCAAATCGATGGAATCAAATCAAATCAAATTAAAATCAAATCAGATCAAATTAAGCCAGATCAGACAAAATTAAACCAGATCAGACCAAATCAAAAAAAAAAGTTTAAACAGATAAAATTAGACCAGGGTCCTGTTATATCAAGAGATTGATACGACTCAATCGTAATTTAGAATTAATCGCAACTGTGTACTTAAAAGGTAGGAGTTGCGATTATTTTCAAGATGTGATCGATTCGAATCAATCGTATATCTTCATAAAACGGGCCCTGATCAGACCAATTAAGGTCATACCTTGTAATATAAAATCAAATTAAGTTAAGTCAATTGAAGTCAAAACAAATCAAATCAAATCAAGGCAATTCAAGTCAATTCATGTCAAGCCAAATCATATTAAATCAAAAACTCACTATGATGATATCAGAGTATTTAACTTACGATGCTTTGAGTTGTTGAACGTCTGGTGAAACAGAAAAAACGAGACAAGAAGTGAAGAGCAGTTTAGCAATGACTAATGACGAAACTTAGCTATGTTCGAAAAGCAGCTCTTACTTATAGGTTTTGAACGGAATAATGTCTTGAATGAATTGTACAAATAAAATAAACGGCATAACAACACAATTTTACCAACTAATTGGATTGCGTTACTTCATTGATAGTGCGCGACTACAAACATATATTCATGTTAGTAAATTACCCCACACCTTTTAAAATAAGCTAATTAAACATAATCTGTGGTGACCGAAGCACAACAAATAAAGAGCTTTCTTTTAATTAATCAGGTTGACAAACGCCCATTCATTAATTAAATATCCTGAATTTATTAGATCGACAAACGAACTGTTTGTCAAATGGGTTCGCTTTATTTATTCATTGTCATGGCCAATATTTAACTTTAATTTTTTAAAAATCATGAAATGATGGACTTTCGATCATGTGAATCAACCTCAATCAACCGGATTTGTGAAACCACGAGACTCTCAGGGCCATTTGTTGCGTCATCTGCCCCACTGTTGCGCATCCATTTCTTAATGACGGGCAGGGACCTTTTTTTTTCATGTTTATAAACTTTCCGCAAGCAGATTTCCTCGGATATATTTTGTTGTAGTTGAAGCAGTATACGAAAAGGGTAAACAGAAGAATAAGAAGTAGAAAAGAAGAAGAACAAAAAAGAGGAGGGAGGAGAAGAAGAAGAAGAAAAAGAAGAAGAACAAAAAAGAGTAGGGAGGAGAAGAAGAAGAAGAAGAAGAAGAAGAAGAAGAAGAAGAAGAAGAAGAAGCAGAAGAAGAAGAAGAAGAAAAAGTGGAGGAAGAAGAAGGTGATGAAGAAGAAAAAGAGGAAGTAAAGTGTTAATACGCAAAGGACATACACACATACTGTTATACAGTCATTATACATACACAAACATTACGTAGTCTTTGCTTTTGAATTGTGAGACAGTAAACAATTAAAAGGTGAACTAACATGAAAATAACAGCCGTCCGCATATAAAATAAATTAAATCACCACCACGAACAACAACAACAACAACAAAAGCAACAACACCACCCACTACACATTTTACCCAGGGTAGGCTCTTAATATTGGTACTAAAATATTGTTCTTTTTGAGTGCCCTCTAGCATAATTTTACCATGCCTTTAGCTGAACTGTATTTGAGTGCGCTCAAGTAGACTAGGTGTTTCTAGCGACCGGATACCCATTAACATCACCCGGGCAGAGAGTGGTAGATGTCTTGTAAAAAGGACACTGGATTCAAACCCCATTTAATAGATTAATGATTACGTACTACACACACCACAACAAATGAATATGTTTACACACCATTTTGATTGTCATTGATATATTATTTTCCCCTTTTTCCTTCTTAATGTTATAAATTATAATTTTTTAAGAAAGCATTCCTATAAGTTTTCTTGCCTCTACTAGCTCCTCGGACCTAAATTACTGTTGTTTCATTTTTCACTTATATCAAAGATGGTGATCATGATAATGTTGCTGCTGATGATGATAATCGCTTCTTGTATGCCACCGGTTTCCGGCTCTGCTAGGCGCTCATGGCGCTTGCTCTACAACGTCTCACAAATTCAACGTTCTTGGTCAGCTGTTATTCAAATTGAGATTATTTTTCCATTAGAATTTGTTAGCATTAGTGTTATTCTTGAGATCATGTCGTGGCTTGGAACAAGACAGTCTTGGACGTTGATATAGACTCGGCACCCCTGATATATTATGGAAGGTTATTCAACAGATTAGGTCCAGAGAAGTAGAAGGCTCGGTCACCCCAATTTGTATTAATACAAACACAGATGCCCTCTTTTCATAAATCGAATTTGAGAATAAGATTTACTCTAGATAGACAATGTCAAAATCGACAACATTTTCAAAAGCGGTCGAGGTTAAAAAGCGAATTAGTTAATACGAATAATGTTAATAATAATCGACTTTTTTTTTTCTCAATGGTTAGCAAATAAGGGAAAATCGGTCTCATTCAACAAAATGTGGTTGCGCTCTATTTGTTTTGTGTCAATGTAAAAGAAACCAGTGAAGTTAATCTTCCCTTTCGATATGCAGACAAAATGTCACCGGGATATGTTGTTGTCATCATCATACTGTTATTATTCATTTCGTAAATATGAAAAGTATTTGAAGTGACGTATGACTCTGAGTCCGTCCCGAGCATCATAACAATCAAGTGCTTTATGAAGGTGAGACTTTGAAATAAACAGGGTTCATTTTAGGGTGTGCTAAACATAATTTTAGCATTCAATGGCATCTTAAAGAAAAACGTTTAAAACTGTATAGCAGTCCCTCCGCGAATCTCTAATTGGCAATTAGGTCAGTGGATTCTGACCGTAGGCGCTATTTGAAATTTATCAAAATTTACCTTTATTTATCTTTATATTCAATTTTTCTCGAAAACAGAAGTGTTTTAGGGGCTAAATTTTCTAGTGCTTTTAATACATCCACAGGGGCATCCAAATATATCAAAATTGTAAAGAATCACGATCCACCCATTTTTTAAAATTTCCCCAAACTTTGTATTACCTTTAAAGGTAAAGACCAGTATTGGAAACGCGCCAATTTCAAAAAATGAAATGGAAGCTCTTATTACCAATCATGTGATAAGTACCGGTATGTTTTGACTAATACACGATGATAACAATTTTGCCGGGAAACCCGCCTACTAATTGATATATTTGGTAAATTAGTTTATATATTGGTATGTGAGAGATAAGCGCACATGTCGCGCACGTGTGCATGGTCCCATATACATCTTTCTGTGTACAGTGCTTATAACTTTACGAAGACTGGGCCATATTTCTTATCATTTTGATGATTCCAGAACCTTGCAGTACACACCAATACTTATATGCTAGATGATCAACCTTTTCTGATCGATTCCACAACGTTTCTTTCACAATGCAATCGGATGTCCATAACTGGTCTTTATCTTTAATATTGCTACTAAATTATTGTTCTTTTTGAGTGCCCTCCAATATAATTACCATGCCTTTAGCTGAACTGCCATTACAGTGCGCTCAAGTAGACTAGGTGTTTCTACCAATCGGGTACCCATCAACATCACCTGGGTAGAGAGTGATAGATGTCTTGCCAAAGGACACTGGATTCAAACCCCATTTAATAGATTAATGATTACGTACTACAACACACACCACAACAAATGAATATGTTTACACACCAATTTGATTGTCATTGATATATTATTTTCCCCTTTTTCCTTCTTAATGTTATAAATTATAATTTTTTTAAGAAAGCATTCCTATAAGGTTTTTTTGCCCCTTCTAGCTCCTCGGACCTAAATTACTGTTGTTTTATGTTTCACTTATATTAAAGATGGATAATGTTGCTGCTGATGATGATAATCGCTTCTTGTATGCCGCCGGTTTCCACCTCTGCTAGGCGTCCATGGTGCATGCTCTACAATGTCTCACAAATTCAACGTTCTTGGTCAGCCGTTATTCAAATTAAGATTATGTTCCATTAGTATTTGTTGGCATTAGTGTTATTCTTGAGATCATGTCGTGGCTTGGAACAAGACAGTCTTGGACGTTGATATAGACTCGGCACCCCTGATATATTATGGAAGGTTATTCAACAGCTTAGGTCCAGATAAGTAGAAGGCTCGGTCACCCCAATTTGTATTTATACAAACACAGATGCCCTCTTTTCATAAATCCATTTTGAGAATAAGATTTACTCTAGACAGACAATGTCAAAATCGACAACATTTTCAAATGTAGTCGAAGTGTTTGAGTAGCTAATTAAGATGACGGTGATAATAACAAACGACCTTTTTAATTAATATTTTGACTCTATAAACATGTGTGTTTTATTTCAAAAGGCGGTCGAGGTTAAACAAACGAATTAATTGATACGAATAATGTTAATAATAATCGACATTCTTTTGTTTCATTGGTTAGCAAATAAGGGAAATTTGGTCTCATTCAACAAAAGGTGGTTGCGCTCTACTTGTTTTGTGTCGAGGTAAAAAACCATTGAAGTAAATGATCCCTTTCGATATGCAGACGGATGTGTCATCGGGATATGTTGTCATCATCATACTGTTATTATTCAATTCGTAAATATGAAAAGTATTTGAAGTGACGTATGAGTCCGTTCCGAGCATCATAACAATCAAGCGCTTTATGGAGGTGAGACTTCGAAATAAACAGGGTTCATTTTAGGGTGTGCTTAACATAATTTTAGCATTCAATGGCATCTTAAAGAAAAACGTCTTTCTGTCTCTCTTTCTCCCTCTCTCTCTCTCTCTCTCTCTCTCTCTCTCTCTCTCTCTCTCTCTCTCTCTCTCTCAGATTTAAGATTTTCTCTTTCATTCGGTAAGTTATGAGCTAAATTATAATGATACATAGTATAGGATTTCCCGGCCAAATTCGCGAGTTTGTCATTCAAATTAATTTGTCTTGCGTTCAAATTCGACGGTTTTAGTGCAGTCAGGTATATCTCGGGTTTATATTCCCTTTTCTAGTTTTCAAATCTATGGAATTTTCGTTAGAATCTACGTATGTTTCATTCAAATTAATGAAAAATGTGCTTCTTTCGCTATTTGGTCATTCGATTTGGCGCAACACGATTTTCTGACAACGCGACGGTGTACTTCTAGCATTCTAATTCATTTGTAGCATTCAAATTAGCACTTTGTGCACTTAAATTGATGGTCAATATACATTTCTCGTTTATTACACACTTTTTATAGCTCATTCTTTTTCTTTCAAGATTGTTTTTTCATGTGTATTTCATCATATTTCATTTTCTTGCATTTATACACTTATACTCATTAGATTTATCTGATATTCATCAGCATTTAAGTTTGATTGTTAAGAAGAAAAAAACGACTTGCATCTACGGACCTGATGGTCTCAGTATATTTGTAAATGTTCATGTAAGGAATTTGTTTGTCTTATGTTTCATCATAAATTTATCATAATTTCATCATAATTTCATTATGGAAGAAGGGTACAATATTGTGACTGGGGTAGGGACTAGAGTCAACAATTTGAACATGATTCATTATTTAGCCATGTCTTTAGCCATCGATCTGCTGGCGGGCAAGTAAACTATGAAACTCTTTAAGAAAAACAGAGGGGTGTGCTGGGTATAAGAGACGATGTGAAT